CCCCCCTCCCTGCGCTCGGCTCCTCCCCCGCCTGGCTCCGCGGTGTCACCCCAGGTACGGGCCGGGGGCGGTCAGAGCTTCCCCAACAGGCTCTCCTGCTCGGGCTGCCCTTCCTTTTCCCTCCAGGGATCAAATCCAGGCGTCATCATTCCTCTCGGGAAATTGGCTACAGCGCCGGTCTTCTCCACAACATCCTTCTCCCCCAGGTTCGGTTACCGAAGAGCTGCAAAAAACTTCCCTCTCTGCCCTTCCTACGAGGAGGAGCAGCTCCAGGTCGTAGCCCGGCACGGAGGGAACTGCCTTCGCCTCTGAAAGTCACCACTTTTGGGCTTACGCTTCTCTGTTTGTGCCCAAGAAGTGAGACTGCGGCTGCTCTGCACCGCAGCACCTCGACCTCCCGGGTGCCACCGCGGCGTCCCCGGGCCTACGGTACCTCCCCAGCCTTTCTGTTTAGCACTCGGCGTCGTCCGAACCTTGGGATTCAGGACACTCTGCTCCAAGGAAATTCCCCAATGGAGCAGGTTAGGTTGGTTACTCAGGATTTCAGGTCTCTGATTCTCATAAGCAGATACTTGTATCGGCTCAACCCTCAATTTCCTCCTACTGGGCTTTCAATGCGCTGAATTTTTTTTGGGGGGTGGGGGGGTAGGTGATGTGGTCACAAAGGGTGTGGGGGTCTCTTGATTTGCTTTGTGTTTTTTTCCTAGGTTTGTCGGTGAAGGCACTGATGGAAATGGGGAGCAACAGCACTGAGAAGTTTTACAGGATCCCCGAAGGAAAGGGACCGCACTCGGTTGGATGTACAGACCTGATGACAGAAAATGCAGTTGAGGTAAAGCTCTTGGTTCTTTCGCCTTTGGATTTCAGCCAGAATGTTAGTGAAACAACTTGCTGTAGTTTTACAGATGAATCAAACAGAAGTATGTGCAGGGATGCTCCATGGCTGACACTCACAGCTGAGCTTAATGTCCTCTCTGTCCCGATGTAGGATGTGTACTGGGCATTTACTGGATGGATGTAGCCTGCATGCCTTCCCCATGGCTACCTCCTCCTAATGTCCCTGCCTTCCTGACTGCCCTACGCACCATACTGTAGAGAAGCTGTGTCCTCCTGGGCCCCACGGCGTTCTTCCCACCCAACCCACTGCTCCCTTCTGTGTTGGGCTCCCGGGGAGACTCCACACGCAGTCGCCGTGACCGTACCTGTTCTTCTCACAAAGATCCCAACGGGATTTGGCAGGGCTGGCACTGGTGTGCAGTGTTTCAGCTGCAGGGCACAGTGCGAGCTGTCTTCTCAAAATTTTATCTGTCTGAAAAAGAACAGGATGTCAATTCTGCAAGCGGTTAGTACAGAGGGAAGCCACGATAAGAAGACGGAGGCAGTAAATAGGCAGCTAATGAGCTTGCTGATGGGTTTCCAGTTCAAATCCTCTTGCTTTTTCATTTCCCTGTGAGAACACGCCTGCATTTACACTGCGGTTTTACTCCTCAGACTAGCCGGGTGTAGTGGGACTTGTGATCAGTTTGTAGTGGTTATTCGTATGTTTTCCTTTACTCTACTGATCTTACGCTGTGTTAGCACAAAGAAGCGATTAGTTTCTCTTTGCAATCAGCCCATGTGTGTTTCTTAGATAAGCAATACGTATAATTAGAGTTCTTTCAGGCATAGATAAAACTTTCCCTTCCTGGTAAGCAGTTAGTCACCTGGGGAAGTTCACTAGGACTATTCTGGGATCAAATTAATATCATTACCAATAGGGAGGAAGGTTTGATGATTTCTTCCTTAAAGGCCTTTGTGTCAAAGGTTGATTTAAGTTTGATGAGTAAACAGAAACAAGCTTCATTAAACAAGCTTTTGGTATACATTGTGTAGGAAACTGATAAATTCGTGTTCAAGAAACGAGGCTTTATTCCCAAGAGCTCGTGTTCTTTTTGGCCCGAGATTTAACTTGTTAAAACAAAAGTACAGTCGGAGCAAGACAGTGAATTTGAATAGTGTGTCGCAAATTCCCTTGCAAACCAGGAAGTCAGAATGCAAATTACAGACAGTTTGTCCGCTGGGAGATCTGCTTTAAGGTGTGCCGTTAGTTTTTTGCTGCGTAGCAAAAATACCGGCAAGGGGGTATGGCGGGTCGGTGTGAGTGTGGAGGGCTGGGGTGGTTCCTGGAAGACCCGGAGTGCAGACAGTACAAGAAGATTCGAACTGGTGGTAAGAAATGGAGGCAGATAAAACACAGATTAACAAAATGGCATTTGGAAAGATGGACCTCTACAGGCTTGTAAACACCCTGATGAGGAGGAAGAACAATATATTGCACTCCTCTGCTCTCCAGTTGGCCAAGGGCTTTACTGACAGCCTTTTGCTCAGGTCAGCCAGGAACACTATAGCCACGCTGAAACCATGCCCCTGACTCTACCCACATCTCCTCTGCTGGACCACACTTCCAGAAACTAGTCTCAGTGTAAAATTTGTCTTGCTCACCTTGTGGGAAAATATACTTCCAGGAGGGTCCTTTTTTCCCCCCAGGTAAGCAAGTGGAACTGGGTCAGTAACAGCTCCATGAGACTCACTGGTGCAAGGAAAGCAATGATGGCTCCCAGCTGGAAGGGTGAAGGGAACACTGTCACCCCAGTGAATCTGCTCAAACTGCATCATCGTACTGTTCCCTGAAGGGAGGCACAGTGAGGAAGACAAAAGAAAAGATCCAGCAAAATGCAGAAATGCAGCAAATCACAGAATCACAGAATTTTTAGAGTTGGAAGGGACCTCTAGAGATCATCTAGTCCCACTCCCCTGCCAAAGCAGGATTGCCCAGAGCACATTACTCAGGACTGCATCCAGGCGGGGCTTGAAAATCTCCAGAGAAGGGGACTCCCCCCCCTCCCTGGGCAGCCTGTGCCACTGCTCTGTCACCCGAACCATAAAGAAGTTTTTCCGTGTGTTGGAACGGAACTTCCTATGTTCCAACTTGTGCCCATGCCCCCTCGTCCTGTCACTGGGAACCACCGAGAAGAGTGTGGCTCCATCCTCCTTCAACCTACCCTTTAGATACTTGTAAGCAATAATAAGGTCTCCCCTCAGCCTTCTCTTCTCCAGGCTAAAGAGTCCCAGCTCTCTCAGCCTTTCAAATAGGTAGTGAGTGTTTGTAATGATTAACTTAATTAAATGGAGCATTTTGAATTAGCTATAGGCTAACCTAGAGAAGGTGATGTGTACCTCTACATGGATGCCAACAGCCATGCTGCTTTAAAATCATTGCAGGGACAAAAAGACAGGAACATAGGATTGGCATCAAAGCCTGTATAGGGTAATTTTCTCCTGAGATCCTCTTAATTCTCTTGAGCTGTCATTCTTATATCTGAATACATAACATCTGAAGCCCTTGACATAAATGCTTTTATCTTCCATATATAAATAAATAACAATCTTCCTTTTTTTTTTTTTTGTCCCTTTGTATCCCAGGGAAGCTTCTTGCGCCTGTATTATCCATCATGCGATGCCACAGATAACGAAGAGGCACCATGGATTCCAGATAAAGAGTACTATCAGGGACTCTCTGACTTCCTTAATATGTACCGAGTTGTGGGAGAAAGGCTTTTCCAGTACTATGTTGGTAAGACCGGTTCTGGTTTTATTCCTTGACTAGCACAAGGGCATGAGCTCTGTATGCAGGTCGTTGCCTCACTGTTCCATAAGCAGTGTGTTATCGCTGCAGGACGGAAAAATAGTTTCTCCTGAGGAACTGTGTGTGTGTTTGGGATGGGTTTGTGTAGCGATGCTGAATGTGACCCGGTTCTCCGGCAGACCCGCCATCCCTGACTGCTATGGATAGGAGTGTCGGGGCAGTTTGCTCTAGGAAGGGCTCGGGTCAGCTGTACCTATGTGTCGGGATTTAAATCCCACAGGGAAATATGCAAATATACAAAGGTCAGCTAGATACTAAGGTCTAAATACCGATGCCTAACACTGTTCTTGAAACTCTGTTCTTGTAGGGTTTAAGAGAGATGTAGGGCTTGTGCTGGGCTGTGGATGGGGAGGAGGAGGAGGAAAGTATCTTCTGCCAAGTAGAAAGTTTTTTTCAGAATCCAACCCGTGTTTGTCTTGTGTATTTTAAGGATGAGATTTGGTACCTTATCTTCAGATGACTGCTCTGAAATCAGTGGTCAGCAGATTCTTGGGATCTCTCCCACAGGAACAAATGCTTTCTCTTGTTTCAGTAATGACATTTGCTTTGATTTTTATCTAGGTTCAGTGACCTGTCCTGCAAAGTCAAATGCTGCTTTTAAGCCAGGAGAAAAATACCCACTCCTCATTTTTTCCCATGGACTTGGAGCTTTTCGGTAATTCTGCAGTTTGTTGACAAACTATTTTTGTCATCTGTGGAGACAGCAGTCTCCAAGGATGGTTCTGAACAGATTTTTAGTAGGGGGGTGAGATCCCCGTGGAGCTGAAACAGATTTGAAGAACAGGCTGCTGGGTATCAGTATGCCTCCACTGAAATCAACAGCAGTAAATAAAAGCAGGGTTGATGTATTTATTGTTTCCTTTTGTATTATGTATTATTATGTATTATGGTGAAGGTATTTACCAATCCATAAGCATGTCATGAAGATTAGCTAGTTGGTTTTTGGACAGCTCTCTGAAGATGCAAAGTGCTACTTTTTGAAAAATCATTAGCCTTTTTCCTTCTGAATAGATAGTAAAACAGTAACAAGGTTTTGGGAACGGGCTTTGGTGCCTGCCGTACAAAAGCCTGCTCTACTGGCTAGCAAATCCAAACAGAAGAAATACTGACTGGGGGCTAGGGCATATGTAGTGTGGTCAACGTTTAAAGAGTAACGTAATTGAAATAATTATGTATGCACGTATCTCACCAGAGTGTGGTTTTGATTGCAGGACGATCTATTCTGCTATTTGCATAGAGATGGCTTCTCAGGGCTTTATAGTGGCTGCTGTGGAGCACAGGTGCGTATACTGCACGTTTCTGAGTTCCGATGGAAAGAAACTTTCTCACATTGAATAGAATGTTATTTATTCTAAAGAAGAACTTATGATTTATTTTCTAAAAGAAAAACTAGCGTATCTTCTTCAGCCATGCCCACACCCCCTGTTTCTCTAGCTCAGCTCTTATCTAAGCCAAGGGAATTTGCTCAGATAAGCCCTTGAATGAAAAGTCCCAGGGTAGATATCACTCATCATTCTTCAGGCCTGCTATTTTTCTCTCTCTTACTGTTAGAACGTGGACAATATAAAGGAGGTGGGAGTTTTGGTGGGGTTATTGCATTATTTAGAAAGTCTGTCTACGCTCAGTCGTGATTGCAGCAGCACTGGCCGGTAGCTGGATCTCTTGAGATAAGTGAAATCTAAAACTTCTGCTGACTTCACCTCAAGCCAAATGGAATACATCCCCAGAAATAACCTCTTGTTGCTATTACAGAGACGAATCTGCTTCAGCAACGTATTATTGTAAAAAAAAGTCCATTTCTGAACCGCCGGAAGAGTCTACATCAAGCATGGAGAAGGAGTGGATCTACTACAGGAAACTAAAAACGGGAGAGGAAGAGCGCTGTTTGCGCCATAAGCAGGTACTCGTCCTAGGGCTGGGCGCTGGGGAGCGAGGCAGGAGTGGGGTGTTGAGGACTGAGAAATTTGGCCTCGTCTGCAGTCGTCTGCCATGACTCAGGGGATATAAAAAGATGCATCAAGTCCTTTGTTCCTGAAGATGGGAAAGCCACCAACAGCTTTCTTCAGAGCATAAACTACTTCCTCAACGAAGCTTTCTCCTGAAGTTGCACTGTCGAGCTTAGTCAACTGTTTCTCCTCTGTGTCTTCACACTTTTGCTGCCCAGCCCGGTCTCTAAGTGACACAGAGCTGAATTCAAATGTCTGTGTGGCCTTAGGCTTGCTTTAGCTTTTGTTTGCTGTTGGGCAGGGAGATGAATCACAGCTGCTCTACGGGGGATGTTTGCTTCATCATCGTCACACTTCAGCGTGGTTTAGAGCAGCGCAAACAATGCAGACTTCCTGACTGTAAGCAGCATCCATGCTAAATGTGATTTGCCCATACTTACGAGCTCCTCCAAGCTTAGACTTGACCTTTAAAACATGGGAGTGTTTTCTTCCAGCTAAGGCAGACTCAGACAGGGAGGTGTCTCTCTGGATCTCCCTGGGCCATGCAGACAGCAGTACGAGTGTCATTTCCTGTGTGCCTACAACACCCTACTTATGAGTCTAAATACATAACGTCTGAGCTTGCAAATAACTTCCAGAAGCCGTTGCCTGCAAATTTGACTAGTAGACAAGACAGGAGATTGAGATGTATTTGAAATTCAGTGATGCGCAGACATCTCTCTGGCTGCCTACATGCTGCGGCTCCCAAGGATGCTACTGTTCTTTGGTTCTTTTTGAAGCTTTTCTTTTACTAAAGTATCAAAATCAAAACCACTTCTTATACCAAACAATGAAAACCTTCACTTAAAACAGCTTTACTACAGTTTTCAAGAATGTATGTGTATATATAAAATGGGAAGGGCTTCTTGGCCGTTTCTTATTTTGGGTTTATCCAGTGTAAAGACAGTTTCAAACCTCTCATGCAGATGAGGCAAGTGATGTAATGACATTTGCTCATCAATGTGAGCACGAGGAGGAGCCGCAAGTCAGCCTTCCTTGTAGCTGTGTAGCTGAAGCCTTTGTACATCCCAACAAGCCCTTCTCTGAGTAGTCACAGGATGAAGGAGTTGAAGGTCTGTGGTGCATGTTGTAGGCATAAATTCCTCCACGTGCAAAGGACCTACACAAGAGCTTCAACTCTTTGGATCTCCAAAAGTCAGTTTTGTTGTTGGTCAGACCTTGTGAGAGTTCCGTTTTACAGTTCCATTCTGCAGTTCAGAATAGTCGTTACCGTATCAGGCACTTAAAGGAGAAAATAATCAGACTAAGTCTTGTGTCCTGAGGGCCTAGCAGTTGTCTGATAATTCCTTCCACTGCTCTGCCCCAACTTCTCTTTCTCCCCAGGTGCAGCAAAGAGCGCAGGAGTGTATCAAAGCTCTCAATCTCATTCTTAAAATCAATTCAGGAGAGGAAGTAATGAATGTACTAAATTCAAACTTTGACTGGAATAGCCTGAAGGTGAGTGAAAGGCGGCGACTGCATTTTGTTAAATGCTTGATAATGCTTCTGGTTTCCCTCTTCCATTTCTAAACTGGTTCCTGTAAACTATTCTGAAGATCACAGTGTAGATCTATGACCATATTCTCAGGTTATCCCAAGCTGGATAGATAGTAATGGAGCTGAAATGATGTTCTTCCTACTTCAATAGGATCTATTGCCTAATAAATTACTCCCTTTAAAAAAAAATAAAAAAGAAAAAGTTTGGGAAAGAAAGTCTCTTACGGCACCTGGATTTTTTTGACAGGATTCTGTTGATACTAGCAGAATAGCTGTGATGGGACACTCTTTTGGTGGTGCTACAGTTATTGAGAGTCTCAGCAAAGAAATAAGATTCAGGTAAGTATGCAAAACAAGACAAGAGACGTTTGGCATTGGCCCTACCTAAGATCCCCCAGCTACTAATTAGCTCTTGAAGAAAAGTTTTGTTTGGCATGTCTTGTTTCCTCAATTCATGTTTCTTTCAACTGTGGGGATGTGTGTGGATACAGCTGTATCATCTTCTATCATGATACTGTGGGACCCTGCAGAAGCTCCTGTGCCCAGCTGCACCTGGCAATGATGACAAGAAGTGCAATAATGGATTCGTTCTCTTCCCCCAGAATAGAAATCATTTTGAAACAAAATGATTCATTTACCTGTTCAGTATCACAGAGACTTTCTCTTCCCATGTCTCCTGCAAATCAAAGCATGCTGAGAACTCCCATACAAAGCTTTCTGCTTCTGTGACAACATCCAGTTGCTTTTGACAGGTGTGGCATTGCCCTCGATGCATGGATGCTTCCAGTAGGCGATGACATTTACCAAAACAGCGTCCAGCAACCGCTGCTTTTTATCAACTCTGAAAAATTCCAGTGGGCTGATAATATCTTAAAGATGAAGAAGCTCGGCTCCAACGACGCAAACAAGAAGATGATCACTATCAAGTAAGTGTCCAGGATCCATCATTTCTGTGGCGAAAGAGGAATCTTTATTCTCTTGTTGGAGCCGTTCAGTTATACGTAACTGCAGACAGACAGATGCTAGTTCCTCATGGCCCAGGTTTTCACTGCATGTTTAAGTTAGGCAGCAGCACGTCCCCCACTGTGGAGACAGAGACATCTCTCAGCGCAGGCAGTAACGCTAAGTTTAAGGGACTCCAAGGTGTGCCTTCCTGCCCTGGGGCACAAGTTTTGCTCTGGGGCTCATGCATCATCTGTGTCTGAACACTTCAGATAGCCTTATGGGTGCAGTAACGCACACATCTAGTGAAAGCGCTGTGTGCAAGGGAGTGGGTGGCTCTGTAATCCACCTTAGAGCAGAGAGGCAACTTGATCTTGAAGTTTTGCCAAGCCTACTCTTTGCTGCTGTTGCAATTATAGTGGCTTAAGTAAGCACGCACAAAACTTCCTCCCTTCCATGGGTAGGACAGAATTTACTGCTGATTTTGCATGCTCATGAGATAAACCAGTTTTATCTTCTGCTAAAGAAGACTGCATAAGATGGGTGACTGTCTTTCAAGAAGCCTGCGCAGCCCATGGCACCTTTTAATCAGATGACTGCATTCTTATAAGCCTGTTGGATCATTGTTCTATTTGCAGGGGGTCAGTGCATCAGAGCTTTCCTGACTTTACCTTTGTGAGCGGAGAAATCATTGGAAGATTTTTCAAATTAAAAGGAGAAATAGATCCAAATGAAGCTATTGATATTAGCAATCACGCTTCATTAGCCTTCCTGCAGAAACATTTGAGTAAGTATCTGTTCATATCGAAGTATGAAGTTAAACTAATACTTAATTCCTATAAAGCTTTTTATATAACAATTCTGTTTAGAACAAGACCAAAAGTAAGCGTGTCAGAAAAGTTTAAGTAGAAAAAACAGACTCTTTCTAGAGGTTTGTTAGTTACTTTTGTAATCTAAGCAATTCAGAGGAGGAACAGTGCAGTTTTGTTCTAATACATAAATACCTGGTATCATTTTTCCCCTCCTTAAAACATCGCCTCCTCTACTTTGATTCATCTGTATGATAGTTTCATTTTTCAGTGTAGCTTTACAACAAGCTGATTACTTAATTCATTACCGCTCGAGTCTTCTTTCCCCTGTTTTATAGGTCTTAAGAAAGATTTCGATAAGTGGGATTCTCTTGTGGATGGCATAGGACCCAATGTTATTCCTGGTACCAATATTGACTTATCTCCAGTTGAACCTGAATAAGGCATACAAAGAAGTACTGGAAACACCACGGACATCAGGACACTAACATTGGCCAGGCATGTGACAGCACTGGCCACCTGCACAGCTTTTGGTGTGTGGAACAAAAAAAAAATAAATAAGGCATTAGGTTACATTATCAAGAAAATGTAGAGAGGTTTTAGTTCAAATGAGTTAGTGGGATTCTCTGAAATGCTGCAACAAGGGTAACTTCTGCTTTATAGGCAGATGGGGAAAAAAAAAAAATCACATGATGGTAATTTAGACACTTTTTCTGGTTTTGACTTAAAATCCAGTTTGCAGAGAGAGATTAAGTTCCAAGGAATTCAACTGAAGTTCTGCTTACTAAGCTTTAAGTCACTTTGCATCCAGCAAGCCTTTTTTGCAGTGTAAGAAAAAAAAAAAAAAAACACATCCTTGTTGTTAAACTACTTTGTATTTCAGCTGTGCTCTGACAACAGTTGAGAGCTGGAGCAGGTTTTTGCTCCATCTAGTCAGAGAGGTGCCAGTGGAAGGTGGTCATCAAAACTGTCTTATTATAAAATAAGAGTCACAGTAAAAGTTACAGGAAATAGTTTAAGGTAAGAGTAGAGAAAGTTGTTTGTTCAGACACAGGGCTTCTCATATGAGCTTAATCCACTTACAATTAAGATCTGTGTTTACTGCCGTACTGAGAAATGTTTGCATTCCAAAAGCTGCTGAAATGGGTCACTCTTGTTGTAGCAACTGTAATTCCCCTTCGGCAAAGCTCCAGGTAGTGCCTCTCTCATTAATCTCTGTATTACCGCTATCACTCAGTCATACTGTTGTAGTTGAAATTACAGAAAAGATGCATCACTTCTACCACTCCCTTTAAAGAGGAGTATGTAAGCATTGCTTGATCATCTTGATGTCTCCTATGGTTTAATATTCTCCAGACACTCACCTTTGTCCAGGTACTAGCATTGCTGTCTGTATCTGTCAGTAGAAGCAGCTGACTACGTGGTTGGCTAAAGGCAGCTGACTTTTAGAAAAAAAACTCTTTGAAGCTGTCACATGGAAGGGTGACTTCTAAATGAATAAGCCTTGCAACAGTGGGACTACTTCTAACTGTAGCCTATTGTTTCAAAATCAGGTTACAAACAAAACTGAAGCAAGTGGAACAAGCAAAGCAGTTAACAGTGTAATTAAATATTTATAGGATCTGTGATCTTAACATGAGATTGCAACAGCTTGTTTTTCAAGATTTAATTAAATTCTCTCCAGCCTACCATCATGTACTGTCTTTATTAAGGGAATCAACATGCAAGTGTTTTTCTTACTGAGTGAGCACCAACACTTGAGATCTACTGTGATACTCAGCCAGACTATTACACCATCAGTGATCTTGGGTTCCTAAAAACATGGCAGCACAAAAAAAAAAAAAAATCTATAGCCTCTGAAAAGGAGGAAGAACCTGTGCTATACAGGAGCACAGAACAGGACTGGAAAACAGAAACCCCTTTTCAACACGAGCTGGAGAATAAAAGGTGCAATAAGCTGCAGCTGTTTTAGGAAGTCCTTACCCCACTGTACGCATGCAGCAGCAAACCCATTCCACTAGATCTGCTTCATATCTAGAAGAAAAGCTTCATCTTTAATTAGTGCAACTAAGGCCATGTCATAAATACAAGTTCTATTTTGTACATGACTGCATGGTGTTTCGAAGCATTCAGCATGGCTCATAGTGCTCTAGAGAACTGCTTAGGGTCAAAACAGAACCAGTAACTGCAAGATGCACATAGCTACATCTAACTCCAGTACAAGTAAGATACTCTTTATGCATACAGCATTTAGGCATGTGCACAGGAAAAGAACACAAGTCATTAGCAAAACACTAATCAGCATATGCTAGCCAAAGCTTTATTCCAGTTTCATCTATTGCTTTATAACAGCACCAAGTGTGAGGCCTCTCAACACAAAACAACTCCTCCCACCCCCAAAATACCCTCAACTTTTCCTAAGGGGGAAAAAAAAAAAAAAAAGAAAAAACCAACACACTTAACAATGCAACTTTTCAAAAAGGAACATAAGAAAGTAGCATTGTGCAACACAGTGGCTTATACAGCAACTCACAAGAAACCTTTGTTCAAGAACCACCCACCAACATCTAGATACAAGTTAATGCACACACAGGTTCAGTAAGGAATGCCAGTCAAGAGGCAAATTCTTAGTGAAGTAAAGAAAGCACAGCTGTAAGAAGCCAAGCTGACAATAACAGTCTACCAACAAGCACTATGCCTTGACAGGGAAATATGACAGTGACAGGCATGTGCTCAGTTAGGCAGAAGCAGCACTCAGTGCTTTGCCTGTATTCATGTTCCCGTGAAAAACACATTTCCATGGGAATGTTTGTGTACACAGGTAATTGTTCAGCTTCATGTGATGAATGTGTCACTTGTTTTCAGGAACTCTGGAGGACATGAGGATCTTCAGCTAAATCTGAACTGCAGCTGGTTTGCTTTTCTACAGGGAATAAAAAAAAAAACCAAACCAATAGGTTAGACCCATCAGGATGTTTCATAAACATGTATAAATGCATTAATATCTGAAGTCATAGCTCTACAAGGCTTCAGACTAAGTGTCATCAACGTATTGGACCATATTAAAAGACTGCACTTGTGCAAAAATTTTGCATAAGGCTTAGAGAGTTGAAACAATGGAACTGCCCAAGAACATGAAACAAGCAGTGCTCCCAGATTTCAGTTAAGAGTTTAAGCCACTCCATCCCTCTGTGGGCTTAGCATAAGCCACTGCAGGAGTTTTTGCATCCTGTGGATCAGGTACTTTCTACTCAAACTGCCTTTCCAGGCAGCAGCTCATGTGTGCAGCAAGATCCAGTTCTGTGCCACGTGGCTGCATGACCTTAGCTCACATTTTCTGCACTGTTGCTGAGGGTGCATACACTAATACCATGCAGAGTACTTAAGAACACAGACAGTGGGCAAATTTGGGCAATAATAGTTAGCAACCAAGGGGGAGGGGGTGGAAATACCAAAACGAAGTGGTAAAATCTGGACAAGTATTATCAATACCACAAACAGCAAGATCAAGAATAATCCTGCATTTGAGCGATGCAATTGAGGGAAGATTTGTAGATTCACCAGTTCAACACCTTAATCAAGTTATTTTAATTACGTTTTTGACCAACGAGTAATAGATCTCTGTTGCAGGCTTCATTATTTGTTACCCATAAACCAGTCCGCTTTCAGTACAGTTGTACTGAAATACAATCACCAATTCAATCACCAAAACCACAAATGCTATCTCTACTTAAACTTAGTTCAGTCTCCATCAGGCAACCACTGCTCAAACACAGGAACAAGATGCCCAGAGAGGTTCTGGATAGATTCCAGACCTGCAAGGAAGGTCCTAAGCAACCTGATCTAGTTGGCCGTCCTTTGAGCACCTCCAAAGGTCCCTTTCAAGTAGGACTGCTCTATGACTCCATAGCTTAGAGAAATAGTATATAATCAGAAAGAACCTGTACTATTTTCTTTGGTACACAGAACAGGCGTTCACGAGTAACACTTCAAAATTTTTAAGTAACAATAAAGATGTACATGCACTTTTCACAAACTATCCTTACAACAACTAAGATGGTATTATTATGGGTTTAGATTCATAGATGAAGATCTATTGAGGGATTGGGGTGTTCAAACCCCAAACTACAACACTTGGTAGATTCTGCCTAGCAGTCACTCACCTTCCCTCAGAAATACAAGCAAGAGTAGCATGCTGGTAGCTGCTGCTTAAAACCCTACCAAAAAAAAAAAATCTATAACTTAGGTGTACCACCTCAGCTTGTCCAAGAGGCTCAATCTCCTAGGCTGACTAAATAAATACTAAATTGATTTCTAGTTAAGAGAGTAGCAGCTTTCATTACATGTATTCATCATTAAACTGACAGCACGTGAGCTGATGCTACTGAGAAAATTACAACAGTATTAAGTAAATACATAAGATCAAAAAAGTTTCAACTATTTTCTAAAAAAAAAAAAAATCACATCATTTTCTAGAATATTAGAAAGCATCCAAACACCAAGTACACAACCTCTTTTGGAGGTCTAAAGTAGTCTTACCTTGAAGCAAGGACTCCTCTGGTAAGGACTGCAAGTTTTCTGTCGCAGGGGTTACTGCCTAAACGAAAGGGGATTCTCTTAGGAAGCTGGCACTATTGCCCAGACAGTTTTCCATTGCGGTGCTTCCTTTAATACTAGACTAACTTTTTACATCAGCACAGCTGGACTCTTAATTTACTACTGTTTCACCCTCTTCTGACTCACTACAGAAGTCCTCTGCCCACTTTTTTTGCTCTGATGCAAAAAATGCATGTAAAGAATGAACCAGAAATTCATTCTGTTATCATATCAGTAGCATGGCTGACAACACGCAATTTGAGTTCCAGACATGAGGGTTTTTATTTGTTGGTACTTCATGGAGGACACTAGTGAAAACCTTATTACCATTTCCTAATTACTTTGCAATAGAAGTATTTCACGATTTACCAGTTAGTTACATGCTCTACTAGCGTGATCTGTCACAAGCCACATATCATCAGCATTGTTCTATAGTTCTTGATTAATAGTAGTCTTCCAGTAACATGTCTTCCTTCAAGTTGTTTTCATTAGTCTATTCCTAGACTGAATTCACAGTCTGCAGGCCAAATGGCTGACAGCTTATATAAATAGTTTACATAAATTATATCTGTTATATAATGGATTTATACAAATTTCTGTAGATCTATGGAGACTATTAGAGAAGTAAGGACAGTGTGATGTTTTAAAGAAAAATACCATGCTTTAGCAGTTGACGTGAATGCAGACTTAGATCAATGCTACTTCGCCTTTCTATTTTCATGGTCACACATAAAGTCACAACTAAACTCAGAGCGCCCTTTCTAAAAATTGCTACTGTCCTGCCCAATCCCACTACCACACCACCATACCTCAGATGATCTGCAAGCCCAGTCAGGAATACCGTTCCAGACATTCTCAGGATCCACAACCTCCTCATTGCCACTGGAGAGATTCAAGACCTGTATGGACAGAGCCAAATCATATCTAGCAGAGCAGTGGATCCAGAGAATACACGCGGCAGATAAGACACAGTAGTAGGAAAAC